CGACCCGATCGCCTAAAAAACAAACGTGTTTGCTTTCAGTTTCAGGCGATCGAGTCGGGTGATCGGCCCTATCCAGCCGTAGTGGGCACCACGTTTTTATTAGCGCTTCGCCGTCGCACGCAGAAGACATGAGTTCGATTCCCTAGCTGGGAAATTTTTTATTGAGTACCTGTGGGTGGTTGGCGGGTGCTATGGTGTGGTTTGCTCCATCTTTCCAATCAAACATCTATCGTCTTTATCTCCCCTTCTTCTTTTTTTATGTTTGTTACTCTCTTGTAACACCTCTGATCTTCTGGCGGTCATATGACCTTATGCAGTTGCGAGCGTCGTAAAACCTCTACTAAAACTAAACTATTGAGTACCTTGGACGTCTTATCCTTCCAAACCAGGGTTGGCTTTGAGAGATAGGCCCAAAGTCCGGCTTCTTAATGACCCACATTGTGTCGATTAGGGTGCAAAAACACAATTACATATTTAACCCCCCCCCCACCCCTCAGGAAATAAAATTATCCGTTTTTTTTTCTCTTATATCTAATAATTTGTCGATTTTTTAATATGAGTTAAACCGTTTTATAATGTTTATTCCTTCATCATATATCTATGGTTTCATTTTTACATTTATGATAATTTGTATCAATTAAATTTGTTGGTGATTTTTTCCCCCTAAAATGTGCCTGCTTTCAAAGAAGAATTTGGTGCAAACTGGCGTGTCATTGAAATACACATGAGCACATAGACTGGACCACACCGATATTATGCTCGGAGTTGCACACGTACCTACCCCAAGGCGTTTGATGGTGGATCGTTCCACTTTCTGAGCCTTGGCCACCATGGTGTCGGTGATGAAGCGGTAAACGAGGGAGAGGTAGGCCAGGCCAAGGAGGATCCACACGTAGGCGATGACCACATAGAACTCATGGAGGTACATGTTGGTGAACCGGGTCTCGTGAAGACCTGGGGAGGAGGAGTAGGATGGGGGGTGGGGTTGAAGAGGAGAGTGGGGTAGGCGGGTGTTGGGGGTTGAGGAGGGGGGTAAGGGTGTACATCAAACAGATGACACATGTTAGGAATAACACAGGTATGGCGAAGGTAATATTACATCGACATGAAGATTAGGATGTTGGACATTGCACTTCAACCATTCAAAAAT